CATTTAGCATTTAGCAATGATCATTTAGCAACAATTATTTGGTACTGATACTCTGGTATCCAGAATCAGGTACAGGTACAGGTCCGGACCTGGACCTGATCCTCTGGACCTGGACCTGGACCTGGACCTGGACCTGAAAGAGCCGAACAGGTACCCACCCCTAGCGCAAATTTATCATTACCACGAGCAAATAATTTCCTTTCTTCTGCACCTGCCGCAACCACGAATGTATAATTCCGGGAACATGTCCATTTTTCTCAGAACATGACAATATGCTACCATGAACAATGTGATTTACAGTATCACATGAAATGATCAAATTTGAAATGATCAAGGTAATTAAGGAATAACAAGTCAAAATTTCAAGACACAGACTGAATATTTTCGACCTGTGCCCAATACTGCCATTGACTCTTTTCTCCAAAAAGATATCATGTTACAAAACTTCTAACATATTGTTTTTCGAAAGTCTGTAACAATTGTCTTGTTACATAAAAAGAAGTGAGGAGTGACAGCCTTACAGCCAGCTGTTTGGGGAAGTTATCAAAGACTCTCTCCAGTAGAGTCCGTGTGGGTTTCTCGGCACAGAGCACCACCAGTTGTACGTTCAGGTCCCCGTGGAGCAGCAGGCCCTTGGCCAGTACGCCGACACGCATCACGCCCTTCAGCGCTCGCTGCTGCTGCTCCTCAGTCTTCTTCTCACTGAAGGAGGTGAACGACCTGAGCAAGGTCAACAATAATTCATTAAAATTTTCCACATGATTAGTGGAAAGGAAAGGAAAACAAGTGAAAACATCTTTCCCAGCTCCCAAATGTACATTAGTAAAAAACTAAGTCAACATTGATTAGCTTTACGCATTACACATAGTGAGACAGTAGAGTGAACCTAGATTTTGTATTACACAGATTTCCAGTCAACGATGCCTTAAAGCTAAACATGAAGCACATCTACAAGCTGATGATTATGTACAATGATTATCTGTTTCAAAATGGCCCCAAAACCTGTTTGTTCATGACTGAACGATACGATGTTTAAAAAACAAAATGTCAGACTGTCGCCAAGCTACAGCCCCAAGTCCCAAATTGGCATTCTCGTTTCTTCCATTCAACTACCAGGCGAGGAATACACGACATTGCAAATGTTTAAGTTCTAAAAGGAGAGGCATTAGCATGTGGGACCTATTACCCCTTGCAATTATCATTACTGCATTTTGTCTCACAAGGAGTGGTGACAAATTATAAATTGGTACCTCTAAAAATGATGCTGTAAAATTAGAAGTAGCGTCTTACCCTTCCTTGGTCTCCTCCTCTCCTTCCTTCTTTTCCTCCTTGACCTTGTCTGTGTCCATTTGCTTGGGGTTGTCACTAAGAGGACAAAACCAAGACAGTTAACAATGACCTGCAACGATTCTTCAGAACTGCAAGGGCTTTAACAGGGCAGTTTCAAATTCATTTAGTATTCGGTAAATTTTGGCAGTTACGTATTTCTTGCTATCTGGAAATTCTCAATTTTTTCTTCCGTTAGTGGTAATTTTGGTTCACTATCAATTTCTCTGTTCGTCTCTTGATATTACTTGCAGAATGCCAACAGTTCTATGTTCTGTTTCAGCACTAAGAAGCAACCTTGGGCAGACTAAGGCTCTCTCCCAAAAAAGCACACCCAAATTTTTTTGAACACTAACACTTCAGCCTTATCTGATGGCTTCTCAGTGGTCTTCCCTGCTTCAGAGAGGTCATCACTACAGACAGGATAAAAACAGACATGGTCAGCTAAGCCAACCAACCAACAGGCATGACATCTTAAGTTCAGCCTGTATCTGCTTATACAATTTACTGATTTCATTGGCTGCAAAAAAAATCATCTTTTCAAACTTGAGGCTTACAACTCCAGCAAGAACAAGCAAAGCAATTTTCTGGGATTGCCCAACAAAGATTACTGGCAAAATGATGAGGTGTTACATCTGCCTCTTTGGAATAGCCTGTTGGTCTGTGGTTGTGCAGTTCCGAGGATATTTTGGTGGAAAAATATCTGGCACATATGCTGAATTAGAACATCTTCATCGATTAAGTTCTCAATGGCAACAGAGAGAACCGAAGAATTAGTCTACACAAAAATTATTCAGCCACTTGCAAGCGGAAGATGCAGCACTTTTTGAGACAGAAGATACAGAAGATTCAGTGTTTCATGCAACAACAGGACCAAAATGGCAGCCTCCATGAAGCGAGACACAGCAACACTGATGTGCACAAGTAAAAAGACACTGACATACCTCTCAGCTAGGAAGTCTGACACCAGTTTAAGGGCCTTCTCCGAGGCAGACACTATGTTCTGGACTGCTTGAAGCTGTAGAACACAGTACAACAGTGACCATCAATACCAGATTTAGTTATCAACAAACAATGCTGCTAACTATATTGCCACACTGTGGCAGGGTTACAAAAAGGTATCATTTTCCACATTTGTTCTTTATCAGTTCCCATTGGTATTTTAATATATACTTGAAATGGTTAAGGTAAACTGACAATGCAGAAGAAAGTTGAAATTCAGGTTGTACTCTTACCTCTGCTTCATTGGGATAGATAGAAGAGTGCTTGGCCATGACATGACGGTCATCAGATGTGTCTGGGCGGCGCAAAGGCTTCAGGTGGACAAACAGAAATATCATTTTTGATTACTCCCATTGAACACACAAGTTAATACACTTCACAAGCACAGCATAGCTACACCTTCAGTATTTCTTTTATAGATTCTCATTTCTTCTTGTACCAGCAATATCTTGTGATGATTTGACTTTGTTGATGACATCTCAACCATGCACGGCAACAGGCATACAATGTGGTTTGCTCTACAACTTACTTAGATAAAAAATAATTTGTGACCTCAAATGTACAAAGTCCTTGCTTCTTCTAGATGTATGCATACCCTTAACATCAAGTTAAATCCTTCACCCATTGTACATTTGTATATCTATATTGCACATAAGGAAATTAAAATATACAATTCCCTTGATAGATACACTTTCTGTAAGTCTTGATAATTTCACATGGTGATAGCTTTACAAGAAGAAGGCAGGGGCTTGGATATTTTACACAGACATAAGGGTGTCTGCCGTACACAGAACCTTCTACCATCGCTCTGGCACCAAGTCCAGAGCTGTGAGAAAAGAAAAAAAGGAGTTAGGTAAGGAGAGTGGAATTTTCAAGACTTACAGCATCTGGAAATTCAGCGATGTCCCTCATGTTAAAACCGACGAAGTCTGCCCTGCGACCCCTCTCCCTTCTGTGTGATTTTTGAGTAAGACATAAGGAGGGACACATGTTACTGTTACGTGGGTTTGTAGTCTAGCATGTTTTTCAGTCAGTGTTTTCAGCCACATGGAAGGATTGAAGTCCCAGGTTATTCACAGGAACATCTTCTAAGGCCACACTGACTTAAACTTCATGGATGACATCCTATGAAGACCCCCAAACTAGTGTGCATGGGTGACTAAAAAAAATTCCAGCCAAACCAAAAATGCTGCTAGACCAGAGAAATACAAAGCTGGTATTGTATTGTAAAGATGACTACTTTTACACTTTTACAACATGAGTTCTCGAGTTGAGCTTCGGTATGGCACCCAGGCCAGAGCGTAGTCGGGTGTCAATTTTTTTCTAGAAAGGGCAAAATCAATGTGTGCGCGGATGTCATCCATAACATCTAATCAGTGCAGCCTTATGTCCTGGAGACTTTTCCACCCATGGTTCTGAAAACACTGCTGTCGGCTGTGGGGGAGAAGGGGGGGTTAAGGGTCACGGCACGTGCTCACCATGTCCAGCGGTTTGGGGGGCGTTGGGGGCTGCGGGGGGAAATGCGGGGGCGGCGGATGCCCGCGGCGCCGGTAGAACTCCATCTCCTCCTCCCAGTGCCGCCGCTCCTCCCAATATCTCTCCTCTTCTTCCATCCTACGCCAATACATCATCTCCTCTTCATACAGCCTAATGTACATAATAACGTACACAAACCTTCTACAGGCAGCCTTACATGCCAGGCCTTTCCCCCTCAGTTATTCACACAAGTCAGCCACATTGAACAAAGCATTCAACAGTGCTGGGTATGGTCAAACATTGCCATCATATGTCAAGTCATAAACCAACATGTATAATTAATCATAGCATGACGCTAAACTTAACTCCAACACAAAGGGTACACAAGTGGCACATTTGATCAACAGCTGACATCACGCATCTGTTAAGTCTCATTGTGAATAAGGTCACGTGTCTGTTTACTGATTTATTATTATTTATCCTGATGAAGGTGACAGGGGTTGTTGAAAATTTGATCCTTGTGTTGTATACCCTTTGTGTAAGAAAAAAGATCAAACAATATTACAACATGTCCATGGTGAGAAGATCTGCTGGAGTGTACCTGTACTCCTCCTCCTCTCTCCAGCGCATCTCCTGTCTCCAGCGCTCCTCCTCATCACGTCTGCGCCAGTACTCCTCCTTGGCCAGCTGACGACGCATCTTCTCCTCCTGAAGCTTACGCGCGCGGATGGATGGCTTCACTTCAACCTGCAGCTCAGGGTCCACCTTTTTCTGTAACATCACAGATAATAGAATATCAATTATTATTGGTGCAAGTGGGCCAAGTGGGTACAGTGCTCGCCTTGCATTCAATGGGTCATGAGTTCAATCCTGGCCGAGTCATACCAAAGACTTTAAAAATGGTACATACTGCTTTCTCTGCTTAGCACTCAGCATTTGAGAAATTAGCTAAATATTGATGGTACACTGAAAAAATAAAGAGAGATTATCTTACCTAGCTTGGTTTTGGGCAATTTCAAACACTCCAAGTATGAAATGATGACGAAAATGTGCTAAGAAATGACAGTAAACATCAATATCAGAAAGATTTTATCGTCCAGAATATTTGTTTTTGTCACCCTGAAATTGCATTGGATGCCTTTATCGGTGATGGAAATCACTTGTTACTGTATCTTCCATCAACAAATGATTATTCCACTATAAAAATACAATGCATCTGAACAGACCTTGTATTGCAGGCGGTGGCGTCTCCCCTTCATGTGCATGTCCTTGGCATTGGGGTCGTTAAACTTGCACTCGCACAGCTTGCAGTGGAACTGTATGACCTTGCCATCGGCATTCTTGATCTCTTCAATGTACTCCTCGCCTGGAAGCACACATTGCAAAAATGAACAATGTTTTATGTCTAATATGACTTTGTGGAAGTGTACATATCAGTGAGTATGACTTTGTAGGAGTGCAAATCATCCCAGAACAAACCAAAAATATCCCTTTCTTCACCTAAACAAATGTTTCTAACTTACCAACTGGCTGCACCTCCTTTGCCTGTAACTCTTGCAGCAACTTGGAAGCCTCTTCCTGCTTTCCTATAGACCAAGGGGAAATACAAGGGATCAAACAAATGAGTTATATATAGACAACTACAAAGCAAAGAAAAAATAGAAATTACTGATAGATTAACTCCTTACAGGCTAAGTTGCTCATGAAGTAAAGAGAAGGTTAATGGCTGTACTCTAGACTTAAAAAGAAAAACAAAGACTTCTTTATCCTGTAAATCAGGACTTTTTTACTGTGAACAAGTGATTCACAAACTTTCTTTCTTGCTACACCTGCTGCCACCGCGAACGTAAACTTCTACAATTTAGTACAAACGTGTCCATTTTTCTCAGACCGCCAACTTTTGCTACCACAAACATTAAGTGATTTACAGTAATCAAATTTGATGTCTTACCAGCGTCAGTCTGTGCAGTGGATGTGCTGGCTACAGCAGCCTTGGCCGTAATCTCCGTCACCTTGGTCTCCTCTGCCTTGATGCCACCAGGAGTTGTACTCAGCTTGGTGCCACCTGTGGTAGAAGCTACATGTTGGTCCAAGCCTCATTATTCGGTTTCAATTTTCCATGACAAGACCAAGAAACTTCTTACCCATTGTCTTCTGTGTTCCTGGGACTCAATTTCTTATATATCATAGAAAGTACATGTACTGTAAATCAAGATTTTTGCAGTACTTTTACATTCGCTGTTTTTGTGGTCACTTGCTGTATTTATTATCACCGCTAACAAGTTCACTGACTTTCTTTTTGTTGCATCTGTCGCCATTGCAAGCCTGAAATTCCACGAACATGTCCATTTTTCTCAGACTGCCAATTTTTCCTACTGCAAACATAAAGAGATTTACAGTATCTTGCAAGAGAACACTTCAGAGCTCTGCGCATTTGGTTAGCTGGCAGAAATTTGATGCTACTTTGCTAGCCTGTAGTAACTATGAATACTACAATCCTCTTATCAATGGAGACAATTTTTAGTTATGGAAGCGAGCAGACCGTACCAACAAAGGTGATCTTCGGCGTGACGACCTTCTTGGGCACTGCGGCTGCGACAGCTGCGGTTGCGGCTGCTGCCTTGGGTTTAGGCACCGTGCTGGCAGGTGTGGTGGTGGTGGTCGCCTTGGCGGGGGCGGTCGACGTTGTGGTGGACGTACCGCCACCAGCAGTCACCAGGACGGGCTCTGTAGACGGGATGGGCTTCCCCAGCTTGGTGTGTAACTTCAGAACCTGGGGGAACATGATGTTAA